TATCTCTGCTGCCTGCCAATGCCATGCCAGAGGCCTGGGGTGCAGGTCTGGCCCTGCTCTGAGATTGGCTGCAGCACAGAGATGTTGTCAGTGGCCTGCTTTGAAAAGCCAGGAGAGGAGCAGGGACAATTGTCCAGGGCTTGATGGTAGTGAGTGTGCCTGCTAGCAGCTCCCGTGCTTTTGGTTTATGCTTTGGGTTATGCATCTCTCACCCCCTTTGGGCTCCATGACCTGCCACTGATGTGGCGGTGCAGGGCTACAGATGATCAGGGTGTTTGGTGCACTAAACACATTTCTGCTTACAGAGGCCTCCTGCTTTATTTATGCACTTTCTTTACAGAAACCTGTTGTAATATATAAACACATTCTGTCCAGCACATGGCGGTAAACAACCCAATGACCTGAGATCACACCTCCACTCCTTGTGCTCTCAGACCTAGCAGCTGGAGCTATGCGTGCTTTGAGCGAGGCACAGGGGCTGTGCAGGCGGGTAGGAAATGAGTAATGGTGACTCATCAGTGCTGAGGGAAGGCAGTGGGTGCTGGGGGGCTGTGGTGGCTGTGAGAGCCATTCCTCGGTGCACATCACTGAGTGGAGGGGTTGGCACAAGAAGTTGGTTCCTGCTCCCGCATTTAGCAGTGTCTTTCCAGGAGGGGAGCAGATATGGGAAGCCCGGTCCTTTGTGAGATGTGCTGCAGCCGGCAAGCATGCATACTAATGGAGAGCAACTTTGCAGGAGTTTCCTCACTCCCTGCCCTCGTGCTTCCAGCCAACATCACCATGGGCACCACACTACCTTTACAAAGCTGTCTTGCGGTGGGAATGCCAGGTCTTCCACAGCACAGGCATCTCAAAGGGGTGCTTGAAATGAGCTCAGAGGGGAAATGTATCCAACTGCCTCTAATCACACTCCAGTGACAATGGCACGATTTTGAACATGGCAAACAGGCTTTGAATGTCAGTGCATTGTTCATAGTGAGATATGTGTCATGTTGCATTAGCTCAGGCCGACAGCTACCAGTGGGAAAATATTTCTGTGAGTTCCTTGGAGTGCCCCCACCTCCTACAGGCAGCGACTTGTGCTGTCGTGGTGGCAGCAGAACCGCCTGGCCACGCTGGGAAGCAAAGAGACCATCTGGTGCTGTGCACACGGAGTAGGTTGAGTGCTGTGTCCGAAGGGCAGGTGTGCCTTGTGATAGTTGTGTACTCATGAAGTACACATCTGGCTGTTTGGGAGATGAAGCCCAGTTTTATTTCTTGGTAACTTCTGCTCCGGGGGCAGAACGATGGGGTGAGCTGTGCCCAGATGGAAGGTGGCAGCCAGCAGTACTGGGAGCAGGTGAAGCTGGCTTGTTGCTGTCTGCAAGCTATGGAAGCCAGAAGCTTGGGGCATGCCTTGGTGAGCATGCAGAGCAGTGCAGATCACAGCCTTCTTTATGAGTGCAAGCAGCCCCGAGGACCATGCGGCAGTGTGAGAATGGAGCAGGCACGAGGTGCTGCACAGCGAGAGCACAGCAGCTGGTTCATTTGGAGGCCGCAGTGCTGAGCACAGAGCCCGCTTTGCAGGGCTGAAAAGCCTTTTGGAGATGTCCTGCATGCCCCTTCTTTAGGAGTGAGCCTCCAGCTCTCCTCTCCCAGAGGCAGAGCTCGGCCGGCGGCTCGCTGTGCAGCCCGTGGGCCATGCGGGCTCCTGCCTGCTCCCATTATTTTGTTATTCCAGCATCAGCTTTTCTGAGTGCCTCTCTATTTTCTTCCAATGTCAAGAAGGTGAGGGGGTCAAACGCTAATGCAGTATTTCTTTCCTTTCATAAAATGTACCTAGCAGATGAGGAGTGTCAACACCGATTTGTTTTTCAAGTGTTTCTGCAGGATTATTTTCTTGTTAAAAGTGACAAGGAGGTGCAGAACTGTTGGCCTTTAGCCAGAGATGTCATCTCGTCTTCGCCGAGGTGAGCGGGCACAAGATGACAGAGCACTTTTTTTTGTGGGAAAGATGAAAAGCTGATCCAAGTTTAATCACTTCCTTGAAAAGCAGAAGGTGAACACGCTCCCCATCTTTCTTCAGTCCTCTGTAATGAGAGGCTGGAGAGAGGAGCTGGCAATTAAGCTGTAGTTAGTGCAAGACAGTTCCCTGATAGGTATTTTTGCAGCCCTCTTTTCAGTGCTGGTGTAACTGGCCTGAGCGTGGCTATCCATCTGTAGCCTTTTCAAATTCCTTTGCGTCTCCTGTCAGCCAAATCCGACGGTGCTTTCAGCAAAAGGAAGATGCTCCTGTCGCAGCCACAGCACAGAGCAACTGGGGAGACCCATCCTGGTTCCTGTGTTCCCAGCCTGGCTGAGGAAGGGGCCCTGTTCCCAGTGCTGCTGGTGGGAGCCTTGGCATGCAGTGCACGTCCTGCGATGGGCAGCAAGGAGCCATTAAATGCTGCTCTCCAGTCTTTTACTACCTATGTTTTCAGGCAGCTAAGGAGACTAATAAATGACTCGCCACTTGACGTAATCATTAAAGGGTCTCTGATGCCATTAAAATCTTCTCCTCTCCCACCTCCACAGGGGCCTTGAGTGACCCTGCAGGAGAGAGAGCGTTGCTGATTAACGATGCTTTCTGCAGGGTCTCTGGTGGGATGGAGGCACAGGAACCGGGCTGGAGCACATCTGGAGAGCTGGTGGTGTGAGAGCATTGGTGCCCAAGGTTCTGCAACTGAGCAGTTGTGATGGCAGTAAGAGCAGCAGTACACTGACATCAGTGCATCACCGGCGCACAGGTGAGTGGTGGACTCAGATATCGCTGGAAGTTGTTTGGCTCTTTTCTTTAATTTCTCCCATTTTTTTTAGATGGTTGGGCATGTCAGGCTTGCTTCAGCTTCAGCTTGGTCAGATTAAGGAAAAGAAATGCACAGTTTGAAAAAGATTTCCACCGCTAGCAGTCTGCATTTTTTCTTCTAGCGAAGCGCTGCCAGAGCCTCACAGCCACGTTGTGCCTCTGCAGCAGGGTAATGAGAATAACCTTGTGTGGCAGAGCCTGGCGCTCCCATCATGGCTTTGTGCAGGTTTCCCAAATGCTGCAATAAGGGTGCCTAGCTTTTCCAGTTCTACTCCTCCCTGCAGAACTTGTGTTCTATAGGGCAGCAGCAGAAGCTCCTCGTGATCCCGACTATTGCATGCTGCTGTACCTGCTTGGAAACACTGCCCCATGATGCTGCTCCTGAAGGCTGTTCCTTTACAATCTGCTCATAATAAAACTTTTCTCCTTTTCACATGGGGAAAGGAAAACAAAAAACAAAACAAAAAAACCAACATTGGAAAAACAAGTAAACAGCAGACAGCATCTGAAATGATCCCTGCAGGGAGATGTCAGCCAGCAAGAGCAGACAGAGCAGTGTGGAAGTGGGGGGATCAGTGTATTCTTCTGTCACTGCTCCAAGTTCAGAAGTCCAACAACTTTGGGGGAAGTTGTAGTTAGAGAAGTAATAAAAAGGCAACTGACTGGCATGAGAACAACATCAGCAGAATTAATCTATGCAAAAAACAAAGGGAGCAAGGCTCAGGCTGCTGCAGAAGAGGCTCTTTGGTGGGGGAGGTCAGGGTGCTTCCATCTGTGCTGGTGGAAAGGCGAGCAGAAAAGCAGTGGAGATGAGTCTGGCCTTGTCCAGAAATAAATTAGCAGAAGTAAGTAATCTAGATCCAGCTTCCCGTGAGTTCTGGCTTTGCTAATGGTGATATCATACCTCGCTTTTAACAGCTTTTGTGATCTCAGAGCAAAGTATTAAAAAAAAAAAAAAAAAAAAAAAAAAATCAACATAATTCTTTTGTTTGGACAAAAAGGGAAGAAAAAAAAAAAACAAAAAAAAACAAAAGAAAAAAACAAAACCAACCCGAAAACCCCTAAGAGCCCTGAAGTGACCTTTTATTCTAAGTGAAGGAACAGGCATGCTGATGGCTTTTTCAGATACCGAGGCTCTCAGCAAAGCAACCCAAGTGCCAGACAGCACTCCTCTATGGGAACGCTGCCGGCAGTGCACACTTGGCCCTATTGTCTGTGGGCTTGTATGGACTAGTCGGTGGGAAATGAGGCATTTCCTTTTTGCAGCTTGCTTGCATGGAGTGCAGGAGGTCAGATCCTGCCCTGCCTTACGCCACAGCGTTTTGCTGCGGGTTCTGCCTGCTTTACACCAGTGTGAGCTGGATCAGACTCTGCGCTCAGGTGTTGGGGAGCTTTGACCTTCTGGGTCTTTTGGGGCATCGTAAGTTAAATGTCCTGATTAGCCTGCACTGTAAATCCAACATTTTAATTCTTTCCATATGTAAGATTCAGTCTAATAAGCCAAGGTTTAAGACCATGCAATCTATTTGGAATAACCATATGGATTAGGAGTCAGACTGTGCTTTTCTGCTTCTTGTATTTATACTAATGTAGAGACATTTGCTAATGTGCATGTAGCTCATGCTGGTATCCATTTTTGAAAAATATTACGCCAAATGGCTTGCATTAAAATATTTGAGAAGCAGTAAAACTGTGAAAGTTTCTTTCCCTCGCTCGCAGAGAGACGCACAACTGTGAAATGAGGCGTCTGCAGGCAGCGCCGTGCCTGGCTCTCCCCACAGCTTTATCTGCAGGGCTGATGGAGCTCAGCATTGATGATGAGGCTCACAGGCATCCTCAGGTGGCTGGTAACTCAGAGCCCATCCCCACGGCTGCTCCCTGTGCCCTGCTTGTGTAGGGTGGCCGTTGTTCCTGGGAGGTCCCTGCTGTCCTGCTCCGCCTGTTCCCTGCTCTCGTGTGGGGCACATGGAGCTCCCTGGCTTGCTGCTACCTCTTGCTTTCCCACTTGGCATTCCCACCATTTCCTGAGCAGCATTTCTATCTGTTGTCCGTGTCTCACCCCTTGTTCCTGCTTCTTGTTAATGAACTGGTAGTTTTGTTACGTTCCTGCAGCTGGCAGTACGAGGGCACTGTGCAAGATATGCTGAGGACAGCCAGATGAGCATCCCCAGACTGAGGAAGAGCTCTCAGGTGTGCTGCTGGCTTTCTTGGCTGTTTGTTGGCTTTGCTTCTGTTCTGAACATGGGCAGCCTTGGTTCCTGTAGAATCAGGGAGCAGTGGTGTGGGGGTAGTGCCGTCCCCCTGGAGTTCTGGGAGACACACACTGATGCTGAAACAAGAGCCCTCCCTTAGCCTTCAGTCTTCTGCTGGAGCCACATGCCCGGTGACCAGAGCCAGGTATCTTCCCCTCTCCTCAAAGTATTTCTTGTAAAGATGCATTTCAGCTAAAGGAGGAACTGAGTTACTTTTCCCAGGGTAGCAAAAGCATCTGGGCTGGGATTATAAAGCAGTCAGCTTGTTATGGAAGCCAGAGTCAGGACCTGGGGTCTGAACGAGCGTTGGAAAGCATTTCCAAGTGGGAGTTGCACTCTGCCATCCGTCATTTGTTCAGACGGAGAAGAGGGAGTCAGTGCGAGACATGGCAACTTCTTCCTCCCTGTCTCCAGCATTAATCTAAATGCCAAAAAGCAGACCTTGTGGAATGCACCAGCATTATTGAAAGCACTAGCCTCTAATTCCATATGGCATGAAAATATCCCCCAGGTAGTGTTTAACAGACACCCAGCACTGTCTCACAGCTTGTAGGTTAATGCAGCCAGCTTGGCTGTTTATTCATGCCGGTATTAGGCCATATTGAGGAGCCGTTGTGTTAGGCTGCCTAAGGTGACAAGAGAGCCCAGAGAGAGAGGAACGCGGCGGAGACGATCCGAATGCTGTGCTGGAAATTGTTTATTGAAAGGAAAGGATCATATTACACTCAATTTTTGCTGAGTTTATCTTGGTTTTTATCAGATTACACGCGGGATAACTCATCAATATTGTGATCCTGCTGACATGTAAGTGAGCCGCTGCATAATTCATGGCTGCTGCAGAGCTCCGGCAATGGGAGGCACATATTTAATTAGGCACTTCACCATTTCACTCTTTTGGAGCAGCTCTGGGATTGAGCCGTGGAGGTGGATGCTGCGGCACCTGGGCACTGCAGCAGAGGGGCTGTGCTGCACCTGGCTCCTCCCCAATGGGCAAACCTGCAACAGGTTCCTTGCAGCAACAGTGCTGAGTTCAGAGCAGAGCCTCGATTCATTAAATAACACTGTAGTAGGCAGAAAATGCAAAGAAAACTCAGTAATGGCCTGTTAATTTTTTAATGCCTTTATTGAGTAAGAGGCAAAATAACTAATTCTCTTCCCTGTGCAGAACAGTTCAGTGAATGAGCTCTTACAAAGTTTGCAGCAGGTCAGAATACCAGAGCTCTGATTCCTGTGCTGTGTTGGAATACAGGCAACTTTTGCAGCACTTTCCTTCCCTGGGCAATAAGGGAATATTACATCCTCTCTGCTGATTGCTATCTGCCCTCGTGAGGCTGCATCTCAGTACTCCAGAAAGCATTTGTTATATTTGTAAAGCAGGTTGAGCTATCTCATAGAACCCCGCCATAGAGTGGCTTAGGTTGGAGGAGACCTTAATGGTCACTCAGCCCCAACCCTCTGCTGTGGGTTCCTGCCCAAGGCCCCATCCATGGCCTGGGGCACCTCCAGGCATGGGGCATGGCCGACTACTGTGGGCTGTCCTGCTTACAGCCAGAGAGTCAGTCTGTCTGCCTGCCAGCACCTGTCTGTCCTGCATTGTTGTCAGCAAGAATGAAACTCCAAAAAGCTTTGGTTCTGCTTCCACAGATCCTGAAAGATTCCTGTGGATCAAGGTCTGGTGATGGCAGAAGAGGAAGCAAGGGCATTACCTTCTGCATGATGGTCAGCTTATGGGACGGGCATATTTTGACCTACACTGCAATGTTAGTGAGGTGAGGCATCGCTGGCCATGCGCTGGTTCATCAGCAGATGGGGCATCTCCAAATTGTCCCTATTGCATGCGGTGTTGTGGTGGGAACTGGTTTGATCTCAACACCTTTCTGCAGCAGTGACGTCCAGCGCTGAATTACATGTTCAAGGCTGTCTGTGCCTTCCCTTCTCTCATAGGCTATTCAAAAACGGATCGGGGATAGTGAGATTTTTTTTTTCCCCATTTTTGTGGTGCTCTCCTCCATTAATTTCCTGGTTGTAGTACATTACTCATGGATAATTAAGAGTGAGCTATTAATACAACATTTAATATTCAAGTGCAGTGAAGAGGAGAGAACAATAAGTCAAAGAATCATATACTACAAGACATTTTGGTTTGGTGATGAAATTTTTTTGCTGGCTTTGGCTATCAGAGCATAGTGCTGCTTCTATTTAAGTATGGTCGTGAGAACTTCATTTATTGATAGAATACAAATAGGACACTAAATCAGGGGAAGTGAATTTGAATTGCTGGCCATATATACAATTACGAATGAGATTGGCTACTTCTATCTAGTGTATCTTAAGTTAGGAGAATTATGTTAGAGATGGCTAAAGAGAGCTTAGAGTGTCTTAAAATTAATGAGATTGAAGTCTGTCTAGGAGAAGAAATTAATGCTAAAATGCAGCTCTAGCATTAGAGACTGTTTTAAAGAAGTGGTTGTGCTTTGCTCAGATGGAGAAATGCTGGGCTTGTAGGCTGTGCACCTGATAGTGTCAAATAAATATGTTTCAGCCTTCAATGCTTCTGTTTGCCCCATCATCTCCACACAGTGGGAATGAGTTCATTGCCCGTAATAGAGAGGAGAGTGAGGCTTGCAGTGCATGGCATTGCAGTGCCATAACGAAGTGCAGCATGGGGTTTTCCAGCCTTCTGCCTCTCTGGGTTCTGATGTTTGCTCCTGAGATGCAGTGGTTTTGACTGCCCCATGTCTGCAGAGCTGTGCTTTTCAAGGCAGGTTTTCAGGCTGCTGCTTCTTTGTAATGATGTGCCAAAAAGAGGAGGGTGCTGCTTTTCTGCTTGTGCCACAGATGCAGGGGTGTGCTTTGGAGATGAGGATGTCCACGTGCACACCCTGTGCAGCAGTGGTGACAGTGCACAGCTGGCTGTGCATCGCTATCTTTTGGGTGGGAGACACAAGTGGGCTTCAGAGGAGATGGGAGGTGAGCAATGCAGTGCAATGCAACACAATGCAATGCAACCCTGACTCTAACCCTACCCTGCAGCCACGAAGGTAGGAGCCTCAGCACAGCCGTGTCCTGCCTTGTGCAGCCTCAGCTGGGTGACAGCAATGCTGGGGCTGTGGTGGGAGGTGGCTCCTCCAGGCTGTGCTCGGGGGGTTTTGTGGAGATGGAGTGCGTAAAGATGCCACGAGTCAAGTACATGTAAAGGTTGCTATTTACAAGCAAGTAATTGTAAGAGTTAGCATGCAGCCAGCTGTGACACAGTGCAGGATATTGTTTGTATCCAGTCCATTTGCACACTGCAAGAAGGTGAGTCCATGCCCCCAGACAGAGCCACGATGCTGCTGCCTGCCAGCAAGCACCGACTGTGGTGCCTGGTTTGGCTGCATTGCCAGGCCAGATGTCTCCCTTTGGCATAAGGGGTTTGCAGCAAGAAGAGGGTGGCTCTTCTGGCTCTTGTGCACAGAGTTCCCATCAGATTTTGCATGTAGGGATGTCCCAGCGTGGGGTGTCTGATGATGAGGACAGATGCACCCAATCGCACCCACTTACATGTGCAAACACCACACGTATGTAAATACTCACACGTTATTTTGTTTGATGAGCTGAATAATTGGTTGTTTACAGATCGGAAAGGGTAAGTGTGCTTCTGACCTTTCTGCATGAGTGTTGTTTATAGTTAATAATGATGCTGCTAACTACGCCCATTCTGTTAATGGGGCTGTTCTCTCCTACGGGCAGCCTCTGTGCACTCTGAATCCTAAATACAATACTAGGTCCCTAAAAAAAAAAAAAAAAAAAAAAAAAAAAAAAAGGATCCCAACCATTCTGAAATGGGGGATGTAATTAAACATAGGCACTATATTGATTCCTAATTAAGCAGCAACAAAACAAATTATTTGCTGGTACAATAAAAACGTTGTCAGAGTGTTGACAGTATTTAGGCAGAAAGCTTTCCCCAGTCCATTGTGCACACACATTTATACGTGTCATACAAATAGCTGCATTTGTCAGTAGAGCCGCCCACTGGAAAATTGCGTTTGCATCTTTGGGGATGAGGCTGAGCAGAGCAGCACCGCTTTGCTGTAGTTTCTCCATTTCTTGAGGCTGAAGCAGCGTGAGCGCGTGTGTGAAGCCGAGAGCAGGAATCTGGGGGAGGGGAAGGGTTTCAGCAAACATTTCCTTACCAAAACAGCCCTGACCTTTGCGGTGCTGGAGCTGTCTGATACAACAGGCTGAACCTTTCCAGACAAGAGCTCCGACCTGAAATGCTTCAGAGCAGAATTGATGGCCGCCGCTTTGGCCCCGCTGTTTACATCCAGTGCTCGCTTGGCCGCTGATGCGAGGGAAGGAGAGGGGCTCATCTTGGTCATGAATGAGAGGGCCTGCTTTTCTGCGCTGGGGGCTGAACGCTGTTAATTGAAGCTGAGCAAGGAGTGCGTTTGCTGTTCCTGCAGCGCATCGCTGGCGGCATGGGGAGCCGCTCAGTGAACGGGCGGCCGGGCGGGAGGAGATGCTGCTGTTTGTGTGTCCTGTGGTGAATAAAATTAATCAACTCTTTATGTCTGAATGACAGCCCAGGGACTGCACTCGTGCTGTAGCTCGGTGTGGAGTGGCTTCATCCCAGTGCAGGTCCTCTGGGGCCTGGAGCTTTCGATTCATTAGTTGTCAGGCTTGTAGGTGGATTCTGCATTAGGCCTTTAATTTAGTGTATTGCCATGGGCTACTGACCACATGACACTGCTCAAATGTGAGCAAATCTAACGAGGATCCGGGACTGCTCTTTAATTTGGTGAGAATAACAGAGTGAATAGGGGCCCAGAGACTGTTAATCATAAAGCAAAACTAGTTGAAACCAGGTCAGTTGGTGCTGATTTTCAGTGTAATGTGGATGGAGAAGTCGGTGATGGAGCTGGAGCCGTGGCTGTTGCATATGGCCCCACTGCCAGGCGGGGAGCTGAGCCCTCATCCCTGAGCCTGGGGACACTGTGAGTGGTGTCCCCTCTTATGGGAAGCACCACCAGGCCCAGCCACCAGCAGGAGCATGCTGTTGTTCTTACCTTGTTTGCTCCTCATGCTAAGCACCATCCAGTCCCTACAGTTAGATTTGTTTCGTACAATAAACAAAGTCATGCTGCTCTCCTGCTGGCTGTTCCTGGACGAGGTGCTACTCCCCTCTGCATGAATCACACGGATTTATTGCCTTATACTGGAGCGGTGCCTGAGCTCGGCTGGTTTCTTTAAATCTTTTTTGGAGAAGGGTGAGCTCTGGGAGAGGGGGCACAGAAATCCTCTGTAGTAATTCCTGTTGACTGCAGTGACCAGTGAGGCAGAACTGATCAACTGCAGGCTTCCCTGCTGCTGAACTCTGCCAACAAAGTGCTTACATCTGCTTTTACGCTAATGGGAACTTTATGGACTGGTTTCCCCCCACAAGGAGCGAATTCCAGCAAGGTCAAAATCCAGAAAGTTGCCACTTGACACCAGCAGTGAAGCCCTGAGCCAGTTGGAGGAGACAAGGTTGCACAGAGAATCTTCTTGGGGTATGAGAGCTAACATTATCACATGCAACTGATAGGCTGGAGCCCTCCCAAATGCTCTTGCTGCCATCCCGCTCCTGGGCTGCACCACCCCTGGCTTAGTCCCCATGACTGCTGTGGGGAGCAGAAGGCTTTCTCTGGCCCGGTTTGGGAGCAGCAGCTCTGCAGTAACCTGCCAGCCACCAGCCCTGAAAGGCTTTCCCTGTGCAGGCATTCCCAAGGGCACATCATGGGGCACAGAGGGGAGAGCTGCTCCAAGCACATGCCTACTTGGCGATATGGATAAGCAGTGACACAGTAGAGGGAGGCTTTGGGTGCAGAGCTGTTGGCAACTCTGACTTTGGGGTGCTGCTTGCTGTATGCCACCAGCTGTGATGTTGGAAGGCTTGCTGTAGATGTGGACTTCCTAGGCTCAATTTGCACACGGTATCCTGGAGCAGGAGCTCACAGCAGGAGGATGGCACAGGGGCAGCTGGCAGGCAGCCTGCCTGTTATCTATGCACAGAGCCACAAACGTTCGTGCTGTGGGTGTGTTGGATACCAAAAATGTGCAATGATTGCTTTAAGAGTATGTATCTTTTTGAGTGTAATAAATGACCATTCCGCATTAATGTTTATTAAGGTGATGAATACTTTAATTTGTGTGGCAGAGAGTTTACAGAAATGTAACTTGCATCTACACGAGAGTCACCGTTCATTTTTCAGGAAATATAATCAGTCCAGACAAGGCGTGCTGAATTGTGGCCTGCAGAATGTGATAGATTATGGATGGTCTCTGATTAGCTGTCTCTTTTTTAATCTAACGTCGCAGAGGCCTAATTGCTTTGACTTTGACTGAACAGGAGATGGTTCCCTTAGTGGTGCCCGTGGAGCTGTGCCTTGGGCATGGCCTCCCCTGTGCCAGGATGTGCACCCCAGGGTGCTTGCTGTGGTTCTGTGCCACACGGGGTGCTGGTCTCCTTGCTCCTAAACCTACAGCCTTAGCAGCAGGGTGAGCTGAGCCTCAGCCATGCATCATCCCCCCTCTCCTCCCACTGCACTCTGCTGTGACGGCTGCCTTCCAACCAGGGGAGAGGCGATTTCAGAGCAGGCAGCAGTGAATGAATTCTGTTTTTCTCAAGCATTTAGTGTTGCTTTCAGTTTGCTTTGATGATGCCTTCTCACAACTAGTGTAAACAGACTGCGCAACAGGGAGCACTCACATGTGTACAAGAAGCTGCACATGAAAGGCAGAGGCATCTTGAAAGCCATAATAACGCTGAGTGCCAGTTAAAGGATTTGTCACTAAGAGCACTTTACAGATAGAAAGAACTTATTAACTAGTGTGACTAACAGCTTGCAAGGTTTAATTGATGTGTTTGTTGTCCTTTTATATCTCTCCCCCTCGTCTTCCTCTTGGCACCGGCTCCAGCAGCAGCCTCTCAGCTCACTGAAGGGGTACCAGCACGGAAGCCAGGGCAGTGCCCTGCTCCTGTGGTTGGGCTGGGGCTGCTCAGATCCCTGGAGCTGCTCCACACCATCCTGTTCCCAGCCAGGAGCTGAGGCCGGGCTTATTTTCTTGCTCCAGGTTCTGTTATTCCTCCCTAAGTGACGTTGAGTTTTTGAAGATAAAGCTTTTCAATGCATGAATAGTATGGATAATTAATGTTTCTGCCAGACAGACCACTCATCTCAAGATTGATTGACTATTAAGGTCATAACGCAGCAGCCACCCACACGCAGCAAACAGTCTAATGTTAGACTTCAGCTTAAGCTGAGAGTTGGTCAGCTGTCCACGGTCACAGTGGGGGCTTCCAGTCATCTGTCAGCGAGTGATTGATTGATGTGGACACCTTCCAATCTTATTCTGATTATTCTCAGCAGCTTGCCTGGTGGCCATTTTTCAGGAGTTGGCAGCATTCAGACCTCCAAGACTCAATGCAGCGACTGCGTGGAGGTTAACCCCTTCCTTTGATCCAAAATGGCTTTGTGATGGGCAGCGATTGCAGCACACCAGGGAGGGGCTGTGTTTATGAGCCCTGCTTACAGAAAGCACTGGGAAGCTCCCTGTGACCTCATGCGAGAGCCATGCTTTGACTTTCAGACATTTCTAATTAACTTGGCCTGAGTAAAGCTGCAAACAGAAGATCTGCAGCAAACCCATCTGGAATAGAGCAGATGCAGTGCTTTGTATCCCCACTCCTTATCGGGCTGTCTTCTGTGGGTAGTTTAATGTGCCACAAAATAAACTGTTCACCAACACCCTGGCAAATTCTAGTAGTTCAGGTGGGAGTGAGTTTGGTTTTCGGAGGGGGGGAAAAATGTAGATGTAATTGTTCTGGTATCAGAAAGAGCCCTGCTGATAAGGATAGCTCCTGGTTCCATGCCCACTGGGAGAAAGCCTGGGTGCCTTCTTTATGTGCTCATGAAGATGACTTAAATACAGCTGTAATATTTTATGCATGTATTATATTTGTGCACATACATATCATTCGGACAGTGAAATAACAGTTATGTATGCTGCATAGTGTATGTTTATAACATAGAAGCATATTGTAGAAGGTATTGGGTTTTTCTTTGGTAGCAGGAATGTAATGGAGATTTCCATTTTCTTTTATATTTTTCAGTGGTTTTTAGTTTAAGTGTTTTTGAGGGTGCTGCCACCTGGCTTGTTCATCTTCCCATTCACTTCCCATCCATGACTTTAGCATTCATAACGTACCTAAGAATCCTGCCATGGGGAAACATCAAGAGCCTTTTCTCCTCCAAGAGTTATATCTTTATGTAACTCAAGTGCACCATTGCATTTTTATGGCGCAATCTAAATGCTGTAACTTAGCAGAGCTGGCTATTGTGCACGACAAGAGAGCTGTGCTGGGTGCTGGTGCATTGGCATGCATTCATCAGGATCCCAGCACAGCCTTGAGGCCCTTCTTGGGCCATAGCAACTGGCTGCACTTTCTTTTCATGGAAGATGCTGCTTTAGGATGATGGTCCAGGGGCCCTGAATGCCAGCATCTCTGCAGACACAGGCTCTGAAGCCCCACCAAGCTGCTGTTAGGCAAGCTTCCATAACTCTTGCTGAGTTTTGCTAACCCACTCTGCTCTCCATCCATTACAGGTTGTGATTCAACCCAGAGCCATGTGGACGCCCTCCCAGCTGGCATCCCCAGGCAACACCATGCTGCCCTTGGTGCCATTTGCCTCCTGAACTCCAAGGACTATCTCCTGGCTCACAGCTGGGCAGGCTCCCACTCAGAGCTGCTGCACTTGGCAGGCTCACTGGCAGCAGCACTCACCTGCACCTAAGTGAGGGCACGAGGCCCAGATGCCTACTAGACCTGGTTGGTCCTGGCAGGAGACAGGATGGACAGGAATGTCAAGCCTTTGTCCACAGGTAGGTGCACTGTGGTCACGGTGATGGAGAGAGTGAGGGAGGGTGTGTTCAGGTTGTAAGGTGTATACTGGGGGTGTGTTGCACACTGAGAGGGCTGATTCAGTTGCATAAATGCCACCAGCCTGCTGCTTTCACAGAGATTGACTCCCAGAGGTGTTCTCTGGAGAGAGGGTGCACAGCACAGAGTGATGGAGATGCTGACCAACCCTTCCTGAGCTCAGGACTCTCTCCTTATCCAGCAGTGATGCAGATGGAGTAGCAGCAACAGCAGCAAGGTTCTTCCTGAGCTGCGCTCCTGTTCAGCCTCTAAGGTCACAGTGGGCTGGGTCTGGGAGGCAGGGACCTGGCCAGGTACATCCAGCTGTGGCAAATGCATCCCTGTGTGGCTCCCCAAGAAGGGCCATGCAGGGTTTTATCCCCAGCCCAGCCTGGGCTCAACATGGAGAATGGGGCTGGCAGGGCTGCACTGGGGAGGGAATGGAGTAACCTGCAGCTGGAGAAGCTGAGGCAGGGGTCTGAAATGCCATGTGCTCTCTGCAGAGTTCTTCTAGGGTGCAGCAGTGCCGTGAGCCCCCTAAGGGTTCTGAGTGCTGCATGGAAAAGAAGTTCTTCTAAGGGCAAGAATTTGTCACCGGGGGTCTTCATGCCAGCACCATGGCCTTCCCCTTTTCTCTGTGCACCCCATGCTTCTGCTTGTGTGTTTAGCTCCTGCTTGGTCTGGTGTGGAGGTCCTTGTGGATCAAGGGAAAGGCCTGTGATAGTAAGAGAGTGGGTCCATCAAATGCAAGTGGGTTCATTTTGTCCATGGAGATGTGTTGTCTTTCCTTCGCGACCTACCAGTGGTCACCCCTGCTTGGTGCAGCACAGGATCTCAGGCATTTTCTGTAAAAGTTCTCTGCTATCATCAGCATTAACAGCTGGGAGATGCAAAGTGCTCTGGGATTGCCATGAAGTGTAGTGGAAGTGTGGGAGATGATGAATCCCCGTCTCCAGGAGAGAGATGGTAGAGCTGCTCATTTACCTTTGTTAGGCAGCAAGCAGATTGCATGGGCACAGCCATGCCGTGGTGAAGAACTGAAGGCCCAGCAGTGCCTGCTGACAGCTCCAGCTCAACAGGGGGTGGGGGATTTCCCTGCAGCAGCCCCAAACCATGGATCCAGAGCAGTGCTTGTGGTGTGAACTCTTGACTCACGGAATGAACCTCTGCGGTGCAATGGTGAGGGCTTGCCAAGATATCTCCTGCAACTCATTACCCAAAGAAGAGAAGTACCACATATTTACTTCTCCCCTTCTGATCTGTGAGATGCCACTGCAGTGATTACAACTTTTTTTTCCTGTTTTGTTTTTTTCTCTGAATGTGTGAATGCACTCAATTCAAGGTTAACCTCTTCATTAAGTCACACAAGTCTGACAAAGAGTTTAAATCACCACGGAGAGCAAAACAGTCACCTGCCCTAGCCAAAAAACCTGAGGCTGTGCAGATTCTTCTCCCAGTCCCTGCAGAGCAGCTCCCAATGGTGCTGGGTTGCTCGCTGTGGATCTGGTGGCAGTGTTGTGTCCTTGGAGCCCAGCTCATGCTGCTCCTACTGCCATTCGTTGTGAGTGCTGTGCAGAGGGCTGTGAACGAGGGCTGCTGTGTGGTGTTCCATCACATCCACACATCTTGGTGTCCCCACGGTGTGAGCGTGGCCGGTGTGACTTTGGGGCTCCTCCTGAGGCAGTGCTGGTCTAAAAACACTGATGAAAAGCTGATTAATCCTTGTAAGCGAGCAGCGATAGCTTCTCTCCAGAACTGAAGAGATTACCACTGATTTGTCATCCTGATTGTTTCAAAGAGAGGTGCAATTAGTTGCTCTAATTTAGCTCGCTGAGTGGCATGACAACTGAGATGTAATCAGGAGTTCCGCACACAACGCAGCCACCGATGGGTGCAGCTGTGCCCACCACCATTTTGCACGCTGAGGGTGGGCTCAAAATGGTGGAGCACTGTGTGCTTGTGCCCCTCCAGCTGCATCAGCCAAAGTGTGTGTGCTCGACTCTGAGATCCTGAGGATCTGAGGACCCTAGAGGATGCTGAGCACACCTTTGCCAGGTGCAATAAAATTAATACTAGCTATAGGAGAGGGTGCACTTTGTGCTTGAGGCCCCATCTGAGACCAGTTGTTGGTTTGGAAGAGGAGCCGAGCTGCAAAGGGAAGCGTGGGGCACCCTGTGGGCTGACACTCTACTCCAGGCAGAGGGGAGGGAACACAGTGGTTGTATGTCCATTTCCAGCAAAACAAAAGAATTCAAAATGAACAGAATAAAGGCGATGCTTTAAAAACAAAAATGGTCTCTGGCTGTTTCTTGGTTTGAAGCTTTTTTTTTTTTTCTTCCTCTCCCAGGGAAGAAGGCATTTTGTTTGCAGAGCGAGCTGGCCGTGCTCGCCATGCCATGGCTGCGTGCAGGCTCCTAGCCAAGCATGGTGCAGCTGCAGGGTTCGTGTTCTCCGTGTCACCCCAAGGTCGTGCATCGCCCCAGCCCCTCTGCTTGGCCATCAGCTGTTGTCCACCACAGGGCAAGCAGTCCTGTTCCTGCTTCCCCAGTGGTGGTGACACCTCAAGGGGACATGGTGGCAGCTCCTGCCCTGCACTGTGCCCAAATCCTGGTGCCAGGTGTGCCAAGCCACACAAGTGCCAACAATGGGGACATGTTCCTGTTGTCTTACCCAGCCTGGTCAAGGTTGGGCCCTGTGACCTGGCTGAGGGGACACGCTGGCACGGAGAGCACGAGGCCATTTAAAAGTGTTCCTGCTCCCCTCTGCTAAATATAAGCCCCAGTAGGAAGCCTACCTCTCACTGGTTTTATGTTTCTTGCCTCTGCCTCTGTGCTCCCTGTGCCTGGCAGCAGGCCCAGCTGTCTCCAAGCCTAAGATGAAAATACCCTTGCAAATCCCACTCATAAAAATACCTGCTGTATTCCCAAAACATGCCTGAGATAGCTTCCAGAGAGGATGGGGAGCTAAAATAAGATGCATGAGCTCAGAGCCCCATTTTCCACTGGCCCCGGCGCTCCCTGTGGCTGCAGCACACAGAGCTATGGACTGAAATGGAAGTGCTGTAGCATGAGGTGGCTGTTAGCTGCAACTGTGTGGGCAGCATGAGTGCTGCTGCCCCCAAGAACCTCCTGTGCACCGGCAAGCATGCGGGGTGCTGGCTGGGGGGTGCAGGGTGCTGCCTGTAGGGTGCTGTCTGTGGGGTTTTACCATCAGGGCATTTTTGGGAACTGCATAGTGCTGCTCTTGTGAGATTCTTACTCCCTATGGAAAAACTCTGAGCAACAGAGCACAGAGGGAGAGAAGCCTCCAGGGCTCAGCACAGTGCTGTCCCACTGGCTGGCAGGACAAGGGCAGTGCAGGGCAGTGTATTGGGTTGTGCAGCCCGGTGCCCCTGCCATAACATTATTGCTTGGCGCCTCTGGGATGCTCTGCATTATTTGGCAGGGCAAATGCTTTCCTATCTCTTTGGACAATTACTTTCTGAATCTCATTTAACACCGGGATGGATGGCAATATTCAAAGTTAACCACTCCACTTGCATTGCCTTATATGTCAGCAAGTGCTACTTAATGATCTGTGAATGGAGGGAATGCTGGGAATGGGACGGACTGCGAGTGAAATATCTATCCGGAGTCTATAAATAATGCAGCCTCTTTATGCTTTGCACGGTTTGGAGCTTCATGGGAGGAGCATCTCCCTGCTCTGACTGGAAGAGCCTGCAAGTGATTTGGGAATGAAACAAAGGCGATGAAATGCAAGGAGAGGAAGCATTTAGTTTCTGAAATACCTTGTAAATGTGCATCTGCCCTTCTGGTCAACTCTTTGGCCCACAAGCACCAGGGCACGTCCCCAATACGGCCAAGCACCGAGCGACCATGAAGGCACCCAAAGGAGCCCAGGGATGGCAGCTTTGAGGCTTCCAATGCACGGGGAGTTCCTGGTTGGGAATGGGTCAAATAGGTTCAGTTCATTACAGGATACGTTTCTGCCATAAACAAATATTCTGTCACCGCTCTGCATCTCTTCTGAAATGTACTGTGCACGGCACTCGTGATGACATCTGTGTAATTAATAACTGCAGAGCGGGAACGAGCCGGCGGTGCACCAGCGCCGCAGTGATTGGGAATGCTCAGCCCGGTGTTATCTGCTGCTGAGCAGGTGGAGCAGCCACGGTGTGGGGCTCACTGCTGGGCCGTGCCTGGCTTTTATTTTTAACACCCTGCTCCCAGGCGGTGACAAGGCTTCGCTAAGTGAGGTAATAGCCAATTGATTTTGTTCCGTTTTGCAGTGGGCAGTAATAAATCACGCGGCTTGTCAGGGGGTGTTTCATGTTTTCAGTGAGAGTGTGCCAGCAATTAACCATCAGAAAGCTCTTGTGGCTCTGCTCTTGAGGACGTGGCTGCGGCCTGAAACTCAGGAATGCGAGGCCCTTCGCCACCAGCATGGAGTGGCAGTGGTGGAGATTTACGGGGGGGTTTATTTCCAGGCTCTGTGGAGGACAGAGAGCTCATTGATGGATGAGCTGCAGCAGCACCGCCCTGCAGAGAGGGGGCACGGGGAGGTCCCCGTCCCCAACCCTGTATGTAGGGACGTGGTGGGACATGTCAGGAGCTCAATGCAGGGGAAGGGGACACGGGTGCTCGGCAGCTGTTGGGGCAGGAATCCCCTCTCCCATCAACTGCCCCGAGTTCTGCAGCCCCATTGTGTTGGCATGGACTTGTGTGCTGCACTGGATGTGGAGAAAGGAGAGCGGGACAAAGGCTGGAACCCGAAGTCCACCTTTGTGTCAACTCTGCTTTATCCAGTGCTCTGGCTGGGTGGGTGCATAGGCACTGCTGGAAGGAGATGCACACTGGCACAGCACTGTAGTGCAGTGCTCCGGTGTGGTGCTCCAACACAGTGCTGAGCTGGGCTCTGCACTGCAGACACCAGATAGCACAGCTGCAGCCCAGCTAAGTGGGGAGCACAATTGCAGCCCCAGCTCAGGGAAACCCAGGGCACTGCAGCCACACAGTTCAAGCTGCAGAGCTCACCCCGCTGCTGCATCCTTGCTATGCTCCAGTGAGTGATGCTGGGGCCATCCCCATCCTGCTTGGGTCCCATGTGGGCTGAGGAATGCACGGATGACGGTGGGCAGTTGTGTATAGCAGGGTCCTTGCAGCTCGCTCCCTTCCCCCCAAACTCTGTCTTGATGATTCCCAGATGGTAGTCGCTCTGCTTTTATTTCTCCTAACCTTTGTTGCTCTGGAAAGGCAGAGCACAGAGTCAGAGATAGAGGACGGGGTGAGGGCAGCGGTGGGGAGGGTCGGGACCCAGGGGAATAATGCTGATCTCAAAGCCGGGCCTTTCATTGCCTCATTTGCATTTGGAAATAAGGAGTGACTGCTTTGCATTCAGGGCTGGAAGGCAGCCAGGCCCGGGAGGGAATAAATGGGAGCAAGTGGTCAATTGATCCCCAATCAGAATGAGGAAATTATCTGTAGGGTTACCGCTCTCCTGCTTTGTGTCATGGGGCACTTTGGCTACAAAAGAGCCCTTTCCCGAAGGTTGCTGGCTTCCCACATCAGCCGAGGTCCTTCTGTAACTTTCAGGCACTACCAGGGCTGAGAACAATGAGTTGAAGCTCCTTGTGCCACTTCAAAGCCTGAATAAAGCAGGAACTTTTGAAAGGATGTTGTTTAGCTCACCTTGATCTCCTCTGCTATCCCACTGGGTGCTGCCACCGTGTGCGTCCTCCAGCTGCTTGTTATGTGCAATTACTTTTATTTTCAGGGGCTTGAGATAGAATAAATAAGTTAATATTTTATTTGGCGATGATGCCTTTACTCTTCTTGAATCGAATGGAAGAGCGACATTAAGAGGAGAAAATTAATTCCTAAAGTTTTTGTCCCCTAACTCCCACCGCCACCTGCACTGAAGTCACAATGCAGCCTCACACGCTGCAAATCCATCCTGCAGGGGCACAGGACCATGTGTGTGTGCATGGCACTGCCCCGTGTGGGCCCCCTGCCCCGCTCTGCTGGCACTGCCCCAGCCATGACTGGGCTGCCTGCCCAGTGAGACCAGTTTCCCCATTGGCACCGGCTGCTTCCACTCTGCGGCTCTGCGGGAGGTGCCGTCCTGCTGGTCCTGGCGCCCCGCAGCGTGGCGAGGAAAGGAGCTGAATGTTTTCATGGAAAAAAACAGCTGAAATTTCATGGGTTGGCTATGGGTTAAAATTCCAGATTTGACGCTTTTGTCACGGAGCTTTGGCCAGCAAAAAGCCGTGGAGAGATCCCAGCGAGTGCCAGCGAGTGCCGTGTCGTGCCCGCTCCTGCCAGGGCTGCTCTCATCTCATTGGTGTCAGCCCATATCCCCAGGGCTGCCGTGCCAGGACCAAGCCTGTACCCCATGGAGTCTCCTGGTGCCCCACAGGAGTGGTGCTGCGGTGCTGTGCGGCGCTCAGGGGGCTCCCCAGGGATGCACTCGTGGATGGGAAAGGCAGCCCTCCCTCCCAGAAAGCTCCCAACATTTTTGTGATTTCATGGGAACTTTAGGAAAGCAGGATGCCTTGCACACAGCCTGGCGGAGAGAAGCACAGTTCACAGGGTTTGCATGGGAGAGTGGCATTTCATGGGTCCCTGGACATGCTGTGAGCCAGGTACTGTGCTTGGAGAACCACCTGGCTGCAGGGAGGACATGTGGCTCGTGGCAGAGATGCTGCACGTGTTGGAGGGGACATCCTGATAGAGCGGTGTGGGAGCCTGAGAACAAACAGGTGAAAAAGGATGGGTGAAGCTTTTTTTGATGACCGGCATCGCTGGATGTGAAGGCGCTGTGATACAGCCTGCTCACATTCCTTCCTGTTACACCTTCTATGGTTTTGTTTTTCTTTTATACCCACTTCCAGTTTATTTTTTCCACCTTTGCTTTCATTTTCTAGCAGTCCAAGTGTCATCTTTGCTCTGTGATTAATACAGATTGTGACCTGCAGCCCAGAGCTGGGGGCTGCACAGGAGCCAGCAGCAGGTAACGCGCCATCTCCTGCTGCAGAAGCCCATTCTCTCGCAGGCTTCGGGGTGGAAAAAATTCCGTCTCCGCTTGGACACTATTTGTTGCCACAGTGTGAGACTGATTAGGGGTGACACAGCTCACATGAAGCCAGGTAATGCCTCATGCAGCAGCAAGTGACCCAGAAACATCCTGGAAAAGTGCAGCGAAGGAAATCGCCGCTTGCAGTAAGTCAGGATGTGCATCTGGCCGAGCACGGCGCATGGCAGATGAGAGCCAACAGTGTGCTGTGTCCCAAGCTGATGTCTGGAGCTGCCTTGGGCCCACTGCCCTCGGCCAGCAGCTCAGGGTGACGACGGCTCTGCAAACGTTTGCCACGCAGCTCGGAGGAGCTGCTGAAAAGCAGCACTTGCAATGCTTTGAGATACGGTTGTGAATCATCGGCGCACATGTCTTGTTTCTATAAAAAGCAACCGAGGACAGATTTGAAATTGTCAGTGTCTTCTTTGCCTGGATAAAATCAAAGATGTTTCCAATCTCCGCTGTCTGCTCTAGAAAGACTGGACCTGGACGCTTTATCTCTGAACAGTGCGGTGTAAAATTAGGGCACTGTGTGAACTGTATGAGAGAAAGCGCGGCTGCAGGAGCTGCACACCTCTGCTCTTCTTTGCTTCGTGTAACTGCTGCACTGACACCAACGCACTGTGTGCCTTTCCTCTGCTTTCCCACCTGCTCTTCTCACGTGAACTTGGGCATAAGCTGCTGTGCAGGACCCTCCTAATGAAAACTTGTGTGAGAGCGAGAATTGAGGCAGGATTTCCAAGTGTGTGACCCAGACGCACAAGTCTTGTTGATATTCATAAGACCTGGGGGCTTCTGAAAATCTCATCTGAACCCATTCATCTGGTATGGGGATAAGATATTCCGTGACTTAGAGAGGATCTCTTGCTTAACTAAGGCTTGCTACCACCAGAAAGATACCGAGGCCCTGGAGCATATCCAGAGATGGGCAGAGGGGCAGTAAGGGTTCTGGAGCACAGGCTGAGGGAATGGGGTGGTTCTGTCTGGAGGAGGCTCAGAGCAGACCTCATCTCTCCATAAAACACCCTGAAAGGAGGTTGTGAAGGTGGGGTTGGCTTCTGCTCCTAGGTAACAGCAGTAGGACAAGAGGTCACGGCCTCACATTGTGCCAAGAAAGGTTCAGGTTGGGCACTGAGGTGAATTTCTTCTCCAGAAGAGCAATCAGGCACCGGCACAGACTGCCCAGGGGGTGGAGGGGTCACCGTTCCTGGAGGTCTTTAAGGAAAGGGTGGGTGTAATATTTAGGGACACGGGTTAGTGGGCAATATTGGCGGTAGGCGGATGGTTGGACTGGGTTAGCTTAGAGCTCTTTTTCAACCCTAACGATCTTTTGATTCCAACAAACAGGAAACAGGACCTGGGCTGTTCAATGAGTCCGGGCTGGAAGCCTATTAGATGGCACACGGACAGTGCTTAAAGTCAAAATCAATACTGGCTCTTCAGGAAAAACACACGGAGAGCTTTTCCCAGGTTGGTGTTACTTTTAAAACGAGGATAAAAAGGAACATTTAACGCTAGGATGTGCCGATTTCCTTCATTCCTTTATTTCCCGCTGGTGCTGCGCTGCACACAAACGCGCAGCTCTGAAACGCTCCGAGCGAGGGCTGCAGCCTCAGCTCCTGCTGCAGATTCCGTGGGACATATCAACATCTTCCCATTAGGAAGTGATGACAAACCAGTCCATTTGGGGTGATTAATTGACATCTTAAATTAATCACGAGCACTCGTCTTAATGCTGTGACTCAAGATATTAACTGTTCCACCAGTCGCATGAGAAAGAACAGAGACCATTACAAAGCGCATTTGTCAAGCAGTCACTTACACAGCCATTGTGGTGGCTGAAAAAAGGTCAAGTGACTTTGTTATTGTTAAGTAGAGTGCAGACTGAAACTCCTAATTCCTTACTATGTGTTTAATGTGCCAGTTAAGTAGTGGTAATTGGCAGCAGCTGTGCCCTGGAACCAATGGTTTCTTACTGGAGGAGGAAGCCCTAATGTGCTAAATGGGGCAGGAGAGCTTTCGGGAGGGAGGGTTTATAAGGCAGGAGCCGGGGAAGGGGCAGTAACCCCCAAAGAAGCTGGAGGGGCTGCGGCTAGGAGGCGGCAACGGAGAAGACAGCAGCAGGTAGGAAGCGATTTGATGCTGATTTGAAAAATCAATGGACGAATCAAAGCGTAATGGTTGTGGAAGCGAGTATAATGGTGATGATTGAGGTAGACGTGCTCGCGTTGTTGGTGCTTTTGCGTGCTCAGTGCGGTGTGCTGCCTGCCCAGCCGCAAGTTGGAGGCGCTCCGGTGGCTGGTGGTGCTCCGCTGGCAGCGTGCACCCAGTGCTTGGTGCAGGAAGCCGCGTTGGTGCTCGGAATCTGTGCTGGCGTGAGGCCTTGGTGTGCAGAAGGTGGACGGGTCCGAAGATATTTGTGTTTCGGTTCGGTCTTCTCTGTTGTTGGTAGAAGTTGTTCAGGTGGCAGTCCTGCGGGGGGGGGTGGGAGGCCGTTCCAAGCTGTAGCATGCAGCCTGAGGGTCTGCACCTGGGGGTGTCGGTGAGCACGGAGATTTCCTCCTCCAGCCTCAAAAGAGCCTCTCGCTGCATAGGTGTGCATGGTAGGTGTGTGGTGTAACCACACGAGTGGTATCACAGAAGTGCTGCTCTGCAGGCGTGGGGATGCTGAGCACGCGGACCTGCTGCTGGCTCTGTCCTGAGCTTCGTAGCACCTGCTTGCTCTGGACAGACCGACGCAAGTCCTGACCTGCTGTGAGACCGCTGCCAGCTGCTGCTGGGCTGCACTGGCTCTCTTAGGTGGTTGCGTAAGGCTTTCGGCCCTATTTCCAAGCCTACGAAGTTTGCATAGCTTTGAATAAACAACGGTTGTTGAGGTGTGAGTGAGGTGTAAGCAGAACTTTCCCACTTGCCTCCCAGGGCTCTGCAGCTTCCTGCTCCCAGCCCCAGTAGCAGAGATGCACAGCAGAGATAAGCGGTGGGCTGGAGAGGTTGTGCAAGCTCTGAGCATCCGAGCTGCTCCTGCTTGTTAAGGCACGGCTGGGGATGGTTCTCGCTGCATCCAAGCTGCTTTACCCTGAGTTCAGACCTCGAACAAACCTGGTCCTTATAAAAGGGTTTTTGGGGGAAAGGCAAGGCTTTCCAGGGAAAGATGTAGTGAGTCAAAATCCTTGAAGGCCTCGGCTGAGGGTCCTAAAGTGTTATGGTGTTATCATTAATAAAGACAGCGTTTAAAGTGAAGTAACTGACAGGCACAATAGGACAGCAGCCACTTTAATATTCTCCATTTCGTTCGGTACTTACGATCCCTGTCAGTCTCTGTAGAGGAACAAGGAGAATTTATGATGAAAAATCAAAGATGTTCATGAAAATCAAGGACGGGATCAGTGGGCTGACGGATGAATGGCACACGAGCGCCCGTTGCCACCAAGGCGCTCCTGGGCAGGGGACGGGCAGGAGCTCCCTGCTCAGAACTGCGCTGCTCCCCCTTCTCTCTCTGCCTTTGTTCTCAGCACGCGGCTGTGTCTGGGGGCCCTACGTCGTGCACAGCCACTTGAGTTGAAGGAATCCCCGAAGGGCATCTGGTCCCGCTGCCTGCAGTGCACGGGGACCCCACAGCTCCAGCAGTGCTCACAGCCCCATGCCCTGAGCGTGGCTGTCTGCAGGGATGGGGCAGCACCAGCTCTCTGGGCACGCTGTGCTACTGCGTCACCACCCTTAAAACAAAGGTGTTTCTTGGCCACATTCGGAAGATTTCTTTGGAGAACTCCAGCAGCGGCACCGTGTGCATCTCGCCGGGGTCGGGCTGTGCGCTCGCAGCTAATGAGCAGAGCCGCAAAGTTCATCAATAATGGACCTGGTGGCGGCAGCTGATTGCCGGCTCGCAGCGGGTGGGCGCGGGGTGCTAAATCAGCCTGATTGATTGTTGACCACTCCGGTTTTTCCAGCGGTAATTTAAAGCAATTAAAATGCCTCCCTCCGAAATTAACAAGGTAAATAACGCCCTTGCGGAGCTGTGCACGGTGGGGGTCTCCTCCAAAGCTGGGGAGGGGGGCCACATCCAGACCTGGGACAAAGACCCCATCGGGGCTCTGAGCCTCGAGGCTCTGCACATGGTGTAGCACTGCCCATATCCCGGCTTTTCCCTTTGGTAGGGATTGTGCCCAGCCCTTCTGCTGCAGCTCCCGTGTGTTAATTGCACAGTCTATCAATCCTCCTGCTGCGGTGGTATAAATAGAGGCTACTTCACCCATGAAGGGTGATTATCTTTTATGAGTGTGAAAGATCTATAACTGTCGAGGTGCAATGGGTAGGAAGTGAGGAAACAAAGGGAGTCACTGTTATGGGTCAGGCAGTTTGGTGTATAGGAAGGGTTTGATTTTGGTTACAAAGAGGGCTTTTCAGCCTAGGTTGCAGCAATGAAGGTGAGATGAAGATGCATTTGCAGTTGCCAAATCTTTTGCCAAAGTTTTCTTTTTTTGGAAAGCTGTGTAACCCAGAGACCCTCAGGGCTGCTGCTGGTTGTGTGCAGGGCTGTCAGAGCTGTATGTGCTGTTGTCAACAATTATTGGCAAGGATGGAATACAGGAAAAGTAAAACTTCATCAAAAGTCTCCGATGAGCACCTGGAGAACTTGCTGAGAGTGGCAGCTACCATATGTGTGAACGTGAGATATTTTATGTGGGCTGCTCCAATAGTAATGCCTCTTGTTTTATGATATTGCCCCATGATATTAGAGGCAAATGGTGGTGGTACAGCAGTGCAGGCTGAACCTTCCCACCAGTATTCTATTCCATTCTGTTGCTGTGTGACAGATGGCAGCAGAGGGGCAGTCTGACAGACTGGTGTCTGATATGGAAGTGTGTATAAAGCAAAGGTGTGGAATGGAATTCCTCCATGCTGGGGGGGGGGGGGGGGGGAATAAGGCTACTATTGACATTCATTGCTTGGTCAGTGTTTATGGAGACCCAGCAGTGGGTGTGAGAGCAGTGAGGGCTGGGTGATGTTTCAGCAGTGATGACAGTGATCGCCTCCACTGGTGTAGGTTTTACGAGTATGGCATGCAGGCTTTTGTTCATAGCTGGCAAAAATACACTGCTAATGGTGTTGTCTATGTTGAAAAAGTGTTTTGAAGCTGAGAATTTGCTCTCTCAAGCAGATCCTCTGCTCATTTTGCCTGTTGTATGGAAATAAGTAGGAGGCATTACTTTCAGAGCAACCTGTGATGATTGCTCTTCATTCAGTGTGGCCCAGGCACACCAAGAGGTGGGAACCCATGAGGTTCTGTGGCTTCAGAGCTGAGCAGGATGGCTGCCAGCTGATCTCTTCAGAATGCTTCTCATAGCCTTCCTTGCCCCAGGCTCTGTGCCCAGCTCCCCCCGCAGCCCCCCATACACACTGGGGCCTGTGGGATGCTCACACCATGGAGCTGATGCTGCTGCTGGGTCACACTGCTGCGTGCTGCCTGTCAGGAATCTGCACTTGGACCAGGATGGGAAATGTCTGGTCTATTTCATGTCAAAGGCTTTGTTTATCTCAGCTCTTTGGCAATATTTATGTGAATACATGATTAGTTTGTAAACTAGCAAACACCTCCTTAGCCAAACGCTCCTGCCTGCCTTTCAGGGACTGTGAGCAGCCGTGCACTTCAGCATGCACCTCTCCTGCTGTGGGCTGTTAATTGCAGTGATTTGTAAGCGAGTTCCTCGACAGAAGTGCAGCTCTCTCCTTCTGAACCCTGGAATGTCACTGATCTCTGCTGTGCAGGGGACAGGTTTTGCCACGGCTTTGCTTTTGCAGGGGTTACTTTGAAGGCTTTGGAAGTTATGTGAGGCTCTGTCTGAGGTCTCCAGTACTTCTCATTTATCAGTAAGAGTCACAGCTGTAAAGCAGATCCCTCTGTCCAATGGAAGAGAGGTTTGATGTAATGCTATTTATTTGGAGTAATGTATGGAAAGCCAAAGCAAGTTGTATTTTAAGAGCAATTTGGTGAATTTGAGGTGCACTGTCCCATCTGCTTGAGCTCAGATCCTGAATTAAAGGGAAGGAAGCATAACTTGTCAGGCTCTTGCATAACTGCTGTGTTGCCATTAAAAGAATATGATCTTACAAAAGAGGTGGGATGCTAAATCTAGCAGAGTAATTAAGCTACTCATCTAATTGACAGTTCAATGATTTATTGAGCCATAAACCCCAATTCTTTCCACTTACTGACCAGGACCTGCCATGTATGCTATTGTCTGATGGGTTCTCATTTCCAGCTGGGCAATATGCTCCTTAAAATCAGTGTTAAAAATGTCACCAAGGAAGCCATCCTTCATATTAGTGATTAGCCCCACCTGAAGCATGCAGCCCAGTCCCCCTGCTGCTGGGTGCATTGTGAACTGTGGTCCTACCAGGCAACCCTTGGGGGAGTGCTGCTGCCTGAGGGCATTTCCAGCCAACAGATAGAATCTCAGAACTGTTTGAGTCGGAAGGGATCTCTGACAGCCACCTGTTCCTGCTGTCTGCAGTGCACAGGGACACCTCTCAGCTCCATCAGTGCTCACAGCCCCATTCACTGACATTGGGTGTCCCCAGGGATGGGGCACCACCACCTCTCTGGGTTGCTTCTGGCTCAGGGAATTCCTGAGATGGATGTAGATGCGTTTGGGGCTGTTGTGCTGGGTGCTGTTTGCATGTATGGGTGGATGCAGAAGGTTGTGCTCTGTTATGCACACTCACCTACAGATGTCAGAATCCCAACAGAGCTGGTCCATTGAATGGGAGGGAATGAAAAAGTAAGAAAACTGAAGCAGAGCATTTAGTGATGGCAGTATTTGTCTCTTAGGCAGACATGTGGGCTGGGAGCTGCGGGAGTTCAGTGCTTCACCTGATCATAAGCAGAATGAATGCACAGAACCTCATGGCATCTTCAGCCTGTGGTTAATGTGGTGCTTCTGGAAGGCTGCTCTTTTTTCTATCAATTAGGAATTTCTTAACCCATCTTTTTTTTTTTTTAACCTGTACCAATTGCCTTAATTGACTTCCGCCTTAATTGGTAACAAATCATTTGCACAGAGCTCTTGTAATTCTTTGCAATCCATCAGCCCAGGCTTCCTGTGGTTCTGTAGTTGAGTGGGTGC